AGAATCCAGAGTGAAAAGCTGAAACATTTCATGTGTTTTATAATCACTTCTGTGTATTTGATCACTTTAAAGTACAATTCACAAAACTGCCTTTATAACTACCAAATAAGTTGGCATAAGAACATTTTCTGGAAATTCAGTGGCTGTTTTGTTTTGTTTTTTGTTTTTTTAAGATTTTATTTATTTACTTGTCAGAGAGATAGCACAAGCAGGGGGAGTCGCTGGCAGGAGAGGCAGGCTCCCTGCTGAGCAGGGACTGCTCTCCCCCACCAGTTTTGGGACTCCATCCGAGGACCCTGGGGTCATGACCTGGGCTAAATGCCTATGCTTAACTGGACTGAGCCACCCAGGCGTCCCAGTGACATGGATTTCTTTAGGAATCTTCAAACTGATGTTATTGAGCTTTTTTAAAGCGGCGGGAAGTAAACTATAAAAGTTATTATGCATCTTTTTGCAAGTGTTATACTCTTGTATAGCCTATCCTACTGCCATGTGTACATAAAAGCACCCAAGTATCTGTTAAAAAATTAATTCACCACTTGTAAAATGTGATTTGCTACTACAGGGTATTTAACAGATATCCCCCTCATTCAAGATTAGGAGGCTTTCTAGATCTATGCTTAGCAGAGCAAAGAATGATGAAAATAGTAATTAGTGACTCATATTAAATTTATTCATTTCAGCCTATTAAAAAATCTTTCAAATGAATGAATATTATTAAATGTGCTAGCCTCTATTAATGGATTCAAAAAAGATATAAGAACAGTCCTTTTCCCCTAGAGATGTTTCTTATGCAGTAGACAACACACTTAGTATGAACCAGTGTTTTGCACAGGTGTGCATAATAGCATTTACCAAAGGGATGGTGTAAAATGCAACAGGATACCATGAGATCATTTTTTGCTTTGGGATTCAGGAGTCTGCAGAGTATTTGGACAAATTCTAAAGGATGGAATTAATACAGAAGAAACTCTAATAAATAGACTAACGATCAGCTTTATTTTGAACTAAATTCTATAGGGGAAGTATAGATAGGATATCTGAGTCTCTTCCAACAAGTTCTTAATCTTAAAAAGAAAAACTACTTGCATTTAGGACAGTAAAACAGTAGAGACCTTCATAATGAAACATATCTATAATGCTATTGCTAGTTAATTGTAAGTTTAAGAAATAAGTTCTCATGTCACCATACAATCTAAGAACTATCAAGTATTTATATGAAATAACCTACTTGTATTTTAGAAAAATGTGTTCTAAATTTAATTTGAACAGTTTTATGTGATCATTGCTGGGGGAAAAAAATGGTAAAATATAGATCAACAGTCCAAAAAAGGGAGAACATTGATTTAAAACTTACCCAAGAGGCACGTGGGTGGCTCAGTCAGTTAAATATCTGCCTTCAGCTCAGGTCATGATCCCTGGGTCCTCAGATCAAGCCCCATATCGGGCTTGCCTGCCCAGCAGAGAGCCTGCTTCTCCCTCTCCTTCTCCCTCTCCCACTCTCCCTGCTTGTGCTCTGTCAAATTAACAAAATCTTTTTAAAATTTTTTAAAAAATGAAACTTCCCCAAACCCTGTACTCCAGATATAGTCCTCTATTAAAATAATAGTTAACATTTTTTTTATATTTTTTAAGATTTTATTTATTTATTTGACAGAGATCACAAGTAGGCAGAGAGGCAGGCAGAAGGAGAGAGAGGGGGGAAGCAGGCTCCCCGCTGAGTAGAGAGCCCAATGCGGGGCTCGATCCCAGGACCCTGGGATCATGACCTGAGCCAAAAGCAGAGGCTCAACCCACTGAGCCACCCAGGCACCCCTAGTTAACATTTTTAAAGGTTCTATGTATTGTGCCACATATTTTATATTTGCTAGTTTAATTTTTTTAAGATTTATGAATAAATATGTTTAAATTTTTTTGTGACAAGCAGAAGAAATAAACTGATCTCAAACTTGCTTTTTATATAGGAGTTTGCTTCTGTGTCACTAAATATGATTTTTTTTATTGTGTTAGTCACCATAAAATACATCGTGTTTTTGATGCAGTGTTCTAAGATTCATTGTTTATGTCCAACACCCAGTGCTCTATGCAATATGTCCCTTCCTTAATACCCATCACAAGGCTCACCCATCCCCCTCCTTACCTCCCCTCTAAAACCCTGTTTATTTCTCAATCCACAGTCTCTTGTGGTTCATCTCCCCCTCCGATTTCCCCCCCTCCACTTTTCCTTTCCTTCTCCTACTATCCTCCATGTTATTCCTTATGTTCCACAAATAAGTGAAACCATATGAAAATTCACTTTCCCTGCTTGATTTATTTCACTCAGCATAATCTCCTCCAGTCACATCCAAGTTGATGCAAAAGTTGGCTATTCACCCTTTCTGATGGCTGAGTAATATTCTACTGTATATATGGACCACATCTTCTCTATCCCTTCCTCTGTTGAAGGGCATCTCGGCTCTTTCCACAGTTCAGCTGTTGTGGACATTGCTGCTATATGAACATTGGAGTACAGGTGGCCCTTCTTTTCACTACATCTGTATCTTTGGGGTAGATACCCAGTAGTGCAATTGCTGGGTCACAGGGTAGATCTATTTTTAATTTTTTGAGGAATCTCCACACTGTTTTCCAAAGTGGTTGTACCAACTTGCATTTCCCATCAACAGTTTAAGAGGGTTCCCTTTTCTCCACATCCTCTCCAACATTTGTTGTTTTCTGCCCTGTTAATCTTTGCCATTCTAACTGGTGTAAGGTAGTATCTCAATGTGATTTTGACTTGAATCTCCCTGATGGCTAATGATGATGAGCATTTTTTCATGTGTCTGCTAGCCATTTGCATGTCTTCATTGGAGAAGTGTCTGTTCATGTCTTCTGCCCATTTTTTGACATGATTATCTGTTTTTTGGGTGTTGAGTTTGAGAAGTTCTTTAAAGACTTGCATATCAGCCCTTGTCTATAGTGTCATTTGCAAATATCTTCCATTCCATGGGTTGCCTCTTTGTTTCATTGACTGTTTCCTTTGCTGTGTAGAAGCTTTTTATCTTGAAGTCCCAAAAGTTCATTTTCGCTTTTGTTTCCTTTGCTGTTGGAGACATGTCTTGAAGGAAGTTGCTGTGGCCAATGTTGAAGAGGTTACTGCCTATGTCCTCCTCCAGGATTTTGATGGATTCCTGTATCATGTTGAGATCTTTCAACCATTTTGAGTTTGTCTTTGTGTATGGTGTAAGAGAATGGTCAGGTTTCGTTCTTCTATACATAGCTGTCCAGTTTTCCCAGCACCATTTATTGAAGAGACTGTCTTTTTTCCACTAGATATTTTTTCCTGCTTTGTCGGAGATTATTTGACCATAGAGTTGAGGGTCCATATCTGAGCTCTCAGCTCTGTTCCACTGGTCTATGTGTCTGCTTTTGTGCCTGTACATTGCGGACTTGGTGATCACAGCTTTGTAGTAAAGCTTGAAATCAGGCAGTGTGATGCCCCCAGTTTTGTTTTGTTTTGTTTTGTTTTTTCAATATTTCCTTGGCAATTCAGGGTCTTTTCTGGTTCCATAAAAATTTTAGGATTGTTTGTTCCAGCACTTTGAAAAAGGCCAATAGGTTAATTTGTAATGATTAGATGCATTCTATGGTGTGGTTCACATTAATTTATTTTACCTGTAGCTTCTTATACACTTAGATTTTTTCCAAATTCCTAGATGTGGTTAATAGGACCTTATATAGCTTTGCATTATATTGTACAGTTATTTCCTCAGAATAAAGAAATACCCAACAGGGAACTTTCAGATTTAAAGAATATGTACATTTTAAGACTTTGGGTTCATTTTGCTAAATACATCTCTGGAAATATGTCTATACTTCTCCCGCAGATAACCCCCAGGAAAATCCCTCTCTCCATCCCCTCTCTAACTTTAAATATTCTTTTTAATTTTTGGCACTCTGAGTGAGGATACCTCATTGTTTTGACATTTGGTTTTTAATGAACATTTAAAATGTTTATTGGCCACTTGTATATTTGTACATTACATCCTCCTGTCCTTAGTCCATTTGTCCACCTACTATGTATTTAATAATTTATGAGCACTTTGATACATTGTTAGAGATTTTCCCTAGTGTATCATTTATACTTTTAATTTTTACTTTTTAATTTGTTTCTAGTGGTGTTTAACTGTCCTGAAGTTTTCATTTTTGTATAGACATATCAATAAAGCATTTACTCTATGGTCATAGTGAGGAAGAAGAATTTTATATTCCATATTGAAGTTGTGTATTATTACCTTCTCTGTAATACTTCTCACAGCTGAAATTATTAGTGTGATTACTGGTTTAGTATCTTTCTTCCTCACGGGACTGTAAGCTCCGTAAGAGCAAGAATCTTGTTTTATATAGCTTTATCTCTTGTCTGGCATACGGTTCGGTCTGCAGTAAATATTTGTTGAATGAATTGAAAATCTTAATCCATCTGGAATTCATTTAGATACAAGATAGAAAAATAGGTAGCTGTATCCTATTTTTCCCAACTAGTTTGACAAGTTTTCTCCAGTGTTAAATAATTCACACATACACCCCAGACACACACACACACACACACACACACTTCCCTTTGATAGTTTTACCATATTAAACAATGACAGATAACTTGAGTCTCTATAGATTTCCTAACCAGTTTTTTCTATTCCAGTATCACATCATCTATTAACAATGGAACAAATTCTCCTCCAATATTTCACTTTTTCTAAACTACCCAGACTTCTTACATTATTTACTCTTGTCACAGAGCTTTACTACCAGGCCCTCAGAATCCCATTAGAATTTGGGATTTGGATTAAGTTTGAAACAATTAACATCTTAAAATACTTACTCTTCTCATTGAATAGTATGATACGCCTTTGCATTTATTTGTATGTTTGAATTTCCTTATGTTTTATTGAGCGTATTTGTACTTTTTATATTAATCTTTTAGCTAGCTTGAGTTTGGAAGTGAATAATTGGAATTTTTTCTTAAGCTTTTGTCAGGAGTGATAAACCGAAACTATTCAGAGGACTACAAATCAAGGTAAGAGGATTTTATTGGAATTCCTTTTTTCCAGTATATTTTTTAATTAAAATATTCGAAGCATTTTTTTAATACTCCAAAAGTACGCTGTTCCCATATATACCCCCTCCCTCATTGTATCTTGCCACTCAGTTTCCTTTATTAACATCTTGAACTTCTGTGGTACAATTGATAAACCAATACGGATGCATTATTAACTAAATTCCATAATTAGCATTGGGATTTTTTGTATGGCATAGTTCTTGTTTTGCCAAATGTATATAATACCATGTATATACCATTACAGTATCTTACAGAATAGTTTCATTGTCCTAAAAATCTCCTGCGCTCTACCTGTTCATATTTCTTCCTGCCTCACCCACTCCCCCAAACCCCTGGCAACCACTGATCTTAACTCCCTGTAGTTTACGTTTTGCAGAAGGTCATATGGTTGAAATCATACAGCATGTAGCCTTTTCAAATGGCTTCTTGGACTTAGCAGTATGCAATTAAGGTTCTTCCCATATCTTCCTTATAGCTCATTTCTTGGTAACACTAAATACAAATAATCAAAAAAATAAAAATAAGAAATAAATAATACAAATATTCTGTTGTACCATGGTTTTCATATTCACCAATGGAAGGACATCTTGGGCGCTTCCAGTCTTTGGCAATTATGAGTAAAGCTGCTGTACACATTTTTGTGTAGGCATAAGTTTTCAACTTACTCATTACCTAGAAGCACAATTCCTAGATCATATAGTAAAATTGTTTAGCTCTTTAAGAAATTCTCGAACTGTCTTCTAAATTGGCAGTATTGTGTTGTATTCCCACTAGTTACGCGAGTTTCTATGCTTCCCCATCCTCACTAGCATTAAATATTGTCAGTGCTTGGCATTTTAGCCATTGTAATAAGTACATGGTATTAACTCGTTTTATTTTGCATTCCCTAATTGAGCATCTTTTCATAAGCCTGTTTGCCATCTGTAGATTTTATTTCGGGTATCTGTTATCTTATTTCGGGTATCTGTTCAGCTCTTTAGCCCACTTTTTAAATTTTTAATTGTGATAATATTAAATTTACCTTTGAAACTATTCTTTAACATACAGTTCAGTGGTGTTACATATATATACATATATATATATATATATATATTAGATATTCGCCATTGGGCAGCAGATCTGAAATTTCCTCATCTTGTAGAACAAACTCTATACCCATTAAACACTAATTCCCCCTCTCCTCCTCCCACCTCTTTGACCAGCCACCCTTTTGCTTTGTTTCTGTGATTTCCACTATTTTAGAACTTCGTAGGAGTTGAATCATGCAGTATTCATCCTATCATGGCTGCTTTATTTCACTTAGTAGGATGTCCCCAAGATTCAGCCACCTTGAAGCATATGACAGGATGCTTTTTCTCCATCTGTTGATACAATATTTTTCTTACTTAGCCTATTGGTGGGGATGTATTTATTGATTTTTAAATGTTATACCAGGCTTGTAGACCTGGAATAAATCCAAATTGGTCATGGTATATAATTCCTTCATACATTAGTAGGTTTGATAATGTTTTTGAGGATTTTTACAGCTACATTATACATAAATTTCTATCTTTTGTGGACTAAAAAGTTTTTGGTCAGATCTTTTAAAATAGCTTATAGATAATCTAATCAAAAATAGTTAAGTAGTAATGGTATTCATTGCAAATGGGTGGAGAATATACCAAATGCTAGAGTTCACAAACTAGAGAACTAAAGCATAAATTGCTGAAAGAAATTCTAAGAGCTGCCTTCATCATCACTGCTGCCTTTTGGGTTATGTGGTTCTACTTAATTTAGCACTGAAGATTGATTTCTTAATGAATTGGGATCATGTTTATCAATGTTAGTGATCAGGTTGGTCACTGTTAGAATTGCTCAGTCCTGTCGGATATTACTAGGGTCAACTAGTGGGTCTCAAGTTTCAGAGTCCAGCCTAATTACAAACTAATTACAAATACAAATACAAAAAATGTATTTAAGGAAAATTCAAAACTCAGTACAGAATGTTGATAATTTGGTGCACGGCCTATTCCAGCAGTGGTCTTACACAGTCATTCTCATCCTAAACTTGTCTTCTCAAGGTTTTAAGCTCATGTGGACTTTGAGTGTTGTGTATAAAATAAATATTTGTCTACATTCAATCATCTTAAATTTCAGACAATCTCGATACCAACAGGTGTTTTTCTTTTTAGAGGTAAATGTAATTACTTAGTTCTCCTTTTTTTTTTTTTTTTAAGATTTTATTTATTTGACAGAGATCACAAGTAGGCAGAGAGGCAGTCAGAGAGAGGAGGAAGCAGGCTCCCCGCTGAGCAGAGAGCCCGATGCGGGGCTCGATCCCAACACCCTGGGATCATTACCTGAGCCCAAGGCAGAGGCTTTAACCCACTGAGCCACCCAGGCGCCCCTAGTTCTCCTTTTTTGAAATCCTATAACACCTATTATAATCTATAAGCCTTTTTTTAATTACTGTTAAATTGGCTAAACCTGGATTGAATTGTTTGGTTTTTGCTTAAGGCTGAGAAGGCTCTTCTAAGCAGATAAAAATCATGTCCTTCTTTTTGTAGTATGTTCGTGGTTCCGATCCTGTATTAAAGCTTTTGGATGACAACGGGAACATTGCTGAAGAATTAAGCATCCTCAAATGGAACACAGACAGTGTAGAAGAATTCCTGAGTGAAAAGTTGGAACGCATATAAATCTTGCTTCAATTTTGTCCTATCCTTTTGTTACTTTATCAGATGAAATACTACAGTACCTAGAGAATATTTTAGTTTTGCTTCCTTCCTTTGATCACTTTCTGTGAGGCATTAAACATCTCATTAACAGTGGAAGTGGTAGCACAGCCCGCGGTATCTGAGGAGTCGGCAAGCTTAACAAAACCCAGTTCTCATACATTTCCTTCCTTCCAATACATTTCCTTCCTTCCACATTTGTTGGTACCACTAACGAAATGCTTCATAACAGAGTTGGCTAATTATGCAAATGATAGTTTGTAGTTTGTCCAGTTTTACGAACAACAGATTTTTAGATTAGGGAGGTTAATAAGGGAGATGCCTACTGTGCCCCATGCATGTGCTGTGTGCACTCTGAAAGCACCAGTAAGAACTACAAAGCAAGTAAGAGCCACTGAGCCTCAACAGATTGCCTGCTTCTCATTCTCCCGGCTGTCCTTTTAGTAGAAATGTTATAGTTCATAATGAATGTGCTACGGTAAAACTTCATGGCTTCATTATTGTAAAACAGATTCAAGATCTACAGTAAGAGTGAAACATTCAGAGATTTGCATTAATGAAGGCTACACAGAAAACCTTCAGGAGGATTTGTGTGGATCTGATATTTAGCAAATTTTTGTGCTTCCCACTCTTACAGGAAAATAAAAAATGATCATTTAAGATCAAAATATAAATAAAGTTTCCCAAAAAATCGAATTTGAAATTCTTCTGATTTGTCCTCTCCTGTTTAAAAATGCTGCATTTCTCAGTGTGTTTTTATTTTTTCATAGAAGCCCTGTTTTATCCAGAATGTTAAGAGGGCTACAGTGTTTCAAACTTATTGTGAGTAATATTGCTTTATACTTGTCTAGCAGTTTCTCAAAGTGCTTTTATCCGTGAATGCATTTTTGATTGATATCTCCTTTAAGGAATAGCTTTTAAAATGCAGAATTTTTATGAGCTATTAAAAATTATTTTTCTTGCTTGACCTTTTGTCTGGTAGTTCACAAAGAACAACATTCATCCAAATGAATTTAGGTCATTTAAACCTCTTATCATATTGGTCTAATCTTATGTCAGCTTAATCTCAGGATAAACTCTTTTAATCTAGAAACTTTAAAAATAAAGTAAGAATTAAGCTGTCAATGAAGGATATTTGGAAATCTTTAAAGACACTACCAGGAAATGTTTTTATAGAATATTTTTAAGAGATTGGTTACTATGACTAGCATTTTGTATTATCTTCTATCTTAAATTAAGTACATTTGTAAAGCCATGAAGAGAGTAAACCCTACTAGGCAAGTTGGTTACTCAAAATAAAATACTATGAGAAGTCTTGGCAAACAGACTAGGATCTATTTTTGATCATTTAGAGTAATGGGAGAGCCATCGTTTTGATAGTACAAGACCCTGGATGGTGGGGCACTAATCCCCAGTGGCCATTATTACTTCAGAACAAGAGGGAGGGCAAGCCCGTCAGGGACAGTGTGAAAAACAGTGGGAGGAGGTGCCACCACCTATAGATGAACAGTAGGATAGAAGGGATGAAACTTAAAAACTGGGATTGGCACAGGAAACTAATTGGACTGCTGTCTGGGCAGGAAGAGCCAGTTAAATGAGTGCTGGCATTGGTTTAAAAAAAAAAAAATGAAGAAAAGCTTAAAAACTCTATTCAAGTTACTATATTCAAGTTTTTATGAGAGAGCGAAGAGGCTAAAGAACCCCATAGTATCGTAGAGCTTGAAGTTCTTGAGTTGATGAATAACCATGTATCCACCAAGCTCTACTATTTTAATTGGGAGGCTCAGATTAATCCGTCAATTCCAACTATTTTTCACCAGTTCTAATCAAAGAACAGCTCAAAGCACTTTAAAAAAAAAAGAGAGAGGGAGAAATACTGATCCAGAAAGTGCCATTTTGTAGGCCAGTTCTGAAATTTGATTAAACTTATTCTGGTTCACAAATATGGATATGTAATACTTGATATTTATAAATTTGTCCCCCCTGCCAAAATGTTACTTATAACTTAAAACAGTTAATTTATCTCTAAATTCCTGAATTTGGCAGAAGCCTCCTAAAAGGAACAATGAACAAATACTGACATTTCCTGTTTTAAGAGGATTTGAAGCTTAAAAGCCATTCTAAAAATAAAGATAATAAAATTAAAAAAAAAAAAAAAAAAACTTGTGAAAGCAAATACTGGAAAACTTTGGAAATTAAAATTGGCCCTCCCTTATATGAGAAAGCAAATACATGGGAAGGAGGAGTACGGATTCCAGATAGGAGCACAACTAGGTAAGTATTTTTTACTTGAAAATTAAAATGCCTTTTAATTACATTCTGTGGTGACAGAGGATTTGCTCTAGGAAAAGGCCTGCATTTGCGATCAGAAATTCAGAGAAGACTTTTGGCAGACATTTTACCTTCAAACTGCCCCTTTGTCAGAAATCAGTAACATGAGACATGGTTATTTAAAAATGCAGAGGCAGTTATTAAGAAAATTGTCTGCAGCCTCTATAACTAGTCCTTCCCTGTTAGCCCCTCCTGAAATATTACAGATACAGCTTTTATATCTGCAGCATTATGAAGAGAGTGAAGTTTAGCCCTAAAAAAAAAAAAAATTGGTAAAAAAACTAAGCTATAATTGATACTTCTTATTCATGAATTCCACATTTACAAATACACTTACTCATTAAAGTTATCTATTACCCCACAATTGTAATAACAGGGGTACTTTTGAAGTTTGCGGATGGGTGCAGAACAAAACACTTGAGTCCCTCAGTGCAGCGCATACCCAGCTAAAGTCACGTGGGGACCCTGCCTTGCTTGAGCTCTCAGGCTGTAAACAAGTATCCTTTCATAGTCTAATTAGTTTTTTGCATTTCTGTGCTCTATGTTGGTGATTTAGCCTTTTAAAATGACCCCCAAGTATAGTGCTAAAATGCTGTCCAGTGTTCCTAATAAAAGCAAGAAGGCTAGGATGCACTTTAGAGAAAAAATGCATTTAGTGAAGTTTCGTTGAGGCATGGCTTGTGGGCCATGAGTTCAGTGATTATAAATGAACAATATGCATTAAAGGGTCTTTAAATAGAAACACATAAAACAAAACTATAGATAGGTTGGCGAAAATTTTGTGACCAGGGGCTTCCAGGAACTTCACCCTGCCTGTATGTCCCCCGAGAGCAATGGTCTGTTATAAGTTCAGTGTGCAGCAACTTCATAGAATGACTGTGAGCACTGAGAATGGATTATATAACTTTGCATTTTTGTTTTTGAGATACAATTCACATTTAAAACCCACTTGAAGTATGCAATTTAGTGTGTTTTTAGTGTATTCAGGGTCATGCAACCATCATCACTATCTAAATTTAGAACATGTTCATCACCTCAAACAAATCTTACCTATACCCATTAGCAGCGACTCCCAAGGCCACCCACCCCCCAGGCTGACAGTTACTAATCTTGCCTCTATTGGATATTTCATATGAATGGGATCATACAATAAATGGCCATTTGTCAGGGTCTTTCATTTAGTAGGTCTTTAAGCTTCAACTGTATTACACCAGGTATCATTAGTACGTCATTGCTTTTTATGACTAATTCTCCTTTGTATGACTGTACCAAATTTGATCCATTATTTGGTAGTCACTTGTGTTGTTTCCACTTTGGGGCTCTTACGGATAATGCAACTGTATATATTCAGGTACAAGACTGTAGAAATATTTTCATTTCTCTAAGATCTATTACTTGGAAGGGAACTGCTGAGTCATACTATCTATGTTTAACTCACAGAGGCACAGCCAAACTTCCAAAGTGGCTACATCATTTTACATTACCAGTCATGTACAGGGTCCCAATTGCTGTACATCCTAAATTTCCTGATATCTCATTAAGAGGAGTACTCATCAGGGGCTACTAAAATGTGTTAAATACTTTGCCCTCCATTAACTGGTCCTCAGACTGCAATTGTTTAATTCTTTATATGCTCTGTTTTATTCTCTCAATTTTACCTGCCTCTTCTGCGTACAGTCACCTTACTGGATTTCCTTTTCCTCTTCCCCAACCTCAGTTATTAAAAAAAAATAAACTAATGTCCCCAGGGCACCCACCCAGTTGGTTAAGTGTCGACTTTTTTTTTTTTAACTGAAGATTTTACTTATTTGATAGAGATTACAAATAGAGAGGCAGGCAGGGAGAGAGGAGGAAGCAGGCCGGCCACCTGCTGAGCAGGGGACCCCAGGACCCCAAGACCATGACCTGAGCCGAAGGCAGAGGCTTTAACCCACTGAGCTACCCAGGCACCCCTAAGCATTGGACTCTTGATTTCGGCTCAGGTCATGATCTCAGAGTCATGAGACTGAGCCCCAAGGCAGGCTCTGCATGAGCATGGAGCCTGCTTAAGATTCTCTCCCTCTCCTATCTAACCCACCCCACCCCATCGTGCTCCATCCCGCACACATACTCCTCTTAAAAAAAGAAAGGTGGGGGGGGCGCCTGGGTGGCTCAGTGGGTTAAAGCCTCTGCCTTCGGCTCAGGTCGTGATCCCAGGGTCCTGGAATCGAGCCCCACATCGGGCTCTCTGCTCGGCGGGAAGCCTGCTTCCTCCTCTCTCTGCCTGCCTCTCTGTCTACTTGTGATCTCTCTCTCTCTGTGTCAAATAAATAAATAAAATCTTAAAAAAAAAAAAATATATATATATATATGCCTAATGTCCCCATGTCTCATAGAAGTCACATTCTAGTGAAAGCCAACAATTAAAGCACAAATAGAGCAATTATGGTAAAAATTATGAAAAAGTTACTAGAAGGGAATTACAAAGGAACTAATGAACTTAGAGATCTCTGAAGAATATGGTATTTAAACAGGCCTAAAATACGAACAGAAGCTATCCAGGTGAAGCGTGAATTAATGTGCCTTCCAGTAAGAAGGGAGAACATGTGCAAAGATCCTGACTTAGGAAGAAGTCTAGAAACTTCACATACCTGTCAGAAGGCCAGTGTGTCTGGAAACTAGTAACCCAGGGGAAAGGGTAGTAGGAAATGAAGTTGTGAAGGTAGGCTGGGAAGATTTAATACATGTCATCCTAAGAATTCAGCTGTATTCTAAGTTGCTTTCAGAATAAAACCTTAAGCAGGGGCAACACAAAAATCCAGTGTGGTCAACTCTAGAGGTCAGGAACAACCAACCAATACCCATTTATGCCTGTGTAAACAAATACCTTATCTGTGTTCTCGCTAAGGACTAATAATCTCTTCAGGAACCTCTAGTATATTACTTCCTTTTTAAAACTATTCCTCCAGGGGTGCCTGGATGGCTCAGTGGGTTAAAGCCTCTGCCTTCGGCTCAGGTCATGATCCCAGGGTCCTGGGATCGAGCCCCACATCGGGCTCTCTGCTCGGCGGGAAGCCTGCTTCCTCCTCTCTCTGCCTGCCTCTCTGTCTACTTGTGATCTCTATCTGTCAAATAAATAAATAAAATCTTTAAGAAAAAAAAAACTATTCCTTCAGGGCGTCTGGGCAGCTCAGTCAGTTAAGGGTCCAACTCTTGATTTTGTCTCAGGCCTTGATGTCAGGATTGTGAAATCAAGCCCTGTGTCAGGCTCCACACTGGGCAGGGAGCATGGTTAAGATTCTCTCTCTTCCCCTTCCCCCCCTTAAAAGAATTTTTTTTTTAAGTTTGTTTTTTTTAAGATTTTATTT